AACTTACTACAATTATTATTATATAAATTATTTTGGTTTCATTTTTTATTTTAAATTGAAATTGAACTACATATAAAAATAAATCTGAATCCATATAATAATTCTCATTTTACATAAAATGATTAAAGGTTATTGTTTTCAAAAAGAATTATCGAGAAACCAAATTAAGAAGAAACAGTCTCAAGTGGATCGGAAAATTACAAATAGATGAAATTAAAAAATTAAAAAATTAACAATTCAATTGGACGTGCTTAGAGTCGAAGTAGTGACAATACTGACGACTACTGTTACTCTTCTTGCAATGGTAGGTTTGGGAAGGAAGGGTTTCGAGGAGGGTTTTTGGTCAAAGTTGCAAACAAGTACATTACAATAAATGTATTGTAAAACTAGGTAAAAACATTGTGTTTGAATGGTAAATCAAATATTTTATGGGAATATTTCTAGGGTATAAATCGATATCTTATGAGTTATGACAGACACCCCACAATTACAATCATTAGTCTCACACATTTCTTTTATTATTTTGAGGCAATTACAAAGTTTGTTGAAATAAACTTATTAATTAATTATACATATCAAAAGAAACAATCGAGGATGATGAAAACGATTCATATCAAGTGTAATATTGATGCATATTAGTTTAATATTTGATATGTGATCATCGTTCATTTCACTTTAATATTTTCAAAAAAAAATTATCTTCATTGTGCAACGCACGGTTTCAAACACTAATTTATTCTACAATTAATGATATAACATTTTTAAAGGTTTGAAGACGTTTTAGATATCCAATATTGATTGTAGAAGTTGAGTATCCTAAACATTATGTTTGTTTTGAAAAAAGAAAAACCAGCATCACTTTATGACAAATAAATTTAAAATTCTACATAAAAGGCAATTTTTAGGTATTTTGGGGTAAAAGATTGGCTATATAAAGAGGGAAGAAGCATGCATTGAATCATAAGTCGTAAAATGGGATCAAGCAAAGGAAAGCGGCCTATAATGGCCACTTTCATTGTGAATCTTGTTGTAGCCATGGTTTCTTTAAGCTTCCCATCGTCAACAACTGCAGCCTACTCTTACGAGTCACTAGATATCTATGGCAAGTCTCCACCACCACCACCACCTAAGACTTCTAAAATTCCTTTGCCCCCATCACCGTCACCTAAGGCTTCTAAAATTCCTTTGCCCCCATCACCGTCACCTAAGCCTTCTATCATTCCTTTGCCCCCATCACCGTCACCTAAGCCTTCTATCATTCCTTTGCCCCCATCACCGTCACCTAAGTCTTCTATCATTCCTTTGCCCCCATCGCCACCTAAAGCGTCTA